TCTAATCTATTAATGAAACCATCAGACACTCTTTATTTTTATAAGTGTTTTCGATTCTCTGACATTTCTTTTTTTTTTTCCTTTCTTATAATTTCTATATCCCTCCTTACACTACCTATTTATTCTTCATGCTGTCTATATTTTGCATTGGATTCATTAGCATGTCAGTCACAGTTTTAAAAAAGTTTCCAGTGTGATCATTCCAATATTTCTGCCATATCGAAGTTCTGATACTTTTCAAACTGTGCTTAACTTTTTGTTTTTGTTTTCTGTGCTTAGTCATGTCTGACTCTCTGCAGTGCCATGAGCTGTAGCCTACTAGGCTCCTCTACCCATGGAATTTTTCAGGCAAGAATACTTGAGCGGGGTGCCATTGCCTACCTCAGGGGATCTTCCCCACCCAGGGATTGAACCTGCATCTCTTGTATCTCCTCATTGGCACGGGGATTCTTTACCACTAGCACCACCTGGGTGACTGAAAACTGTGTTGTAATAAATATATTTGGTCTTTGGCTCTGATTCCTGGCAAGGAGCTTCAAAAATCATTATAATTTTTTTCAATTTCTTGAGTCATAGAAGAAGTAACTTTGTTATGCTAGTGATCACTCACCGTGAAGGTTCTGTATAGTTTCAAGGGAGTGTCTGGTCACCAGAAAAAAACCTCACCATGTGATTAGAGCGTAGCAAATTCCTGCACACCCCCTCCACAGACACACGAGCTGTGTGTGCCTACACCCAACTCTAATATACCAAAGACACTGAAGCCTAAACTCTGCATAGCAGAACATTGCCCACACTCAAGATTGGCCACTGGTTGATGCCCTTGCAAGAAATATCTGAATAACACAAGGGCTCTGAAAACTGAACTGGAGCCAGGGCCCACAGAAGGCCTCAACCTAGCTAGAGTGATTGTCTGCTCAAACCAAAAATTTGGATATGTTCCAGATATTTAAACAAAGAGTCTCCTAACAAAATATTTATCAAAAATGACCAGAAGACAATCCAAAATTACTCATCGTATGAATAGCCATGAGAATTTGGACTTGCATGGGGAAAGACAATCAACAGAAGCTGTGCTGACATGACACAGATGTTGGAATTATCTAGCAAATAGTTTAAGCAGCTATTATAAAGGCACTCAAAATACCAAAGGAATGAAGAAATAAATGAAGTATTTTAACAAGAATTAGAAATCATCTTTTTCCTCCTCTGAATTGCTATCTAAATTGATTGCTACTTTTATCAAGGATAAAGAAAATTTTCCATCCTAAATTATGACATCTCAATTTCTCCAACAGGTAAAAGTCACTTTTTTCACTTAGTAAGTCATCAAACAAAATCTTAATACATGATTTTTAATTTCAAGCTCATATATATGTATGTATATGTACATATATATACACACACACACACACACACATATATACACATTTTCCTTTCTATATGGCATCTAATGTAAGATATTTTATTTGAATGTTCTCCTAAATTTTTACCTGGACTTGTTCACTTTTTTAAAATGGTAAATATCTTGTACTTGCCTTTTAATGTTTTCTCTCCTATAAGCTTCCATGATAAGTTTTACATTTTATTTCATAACAATAATATGCTGCATCTGTGTAACACTTTACAGTATGTATTTTTCTCAGTGAAATTAATCATTCCATTATCAGTTATAAATTTAACCTGTTTCCATTCTCTTACCTCTTTCTCTTAATATTCCCTTTCATAACCTGTTAGAACAAGAATTTCCATATGTGCTTATTCTTATACAAATTATAAGCACATTTACAATTTTATGAATTATAGCACTCTTTTAAGGTCTCTCATCCTTGAAAACTCTGTACCTGTGAACCACTTTCCCTGTGTAGACACTAGAGTCTTATCAGGAGCATTATTTTATCACCTCAATCCCACCCTCATTCCCTGCAGCCCAAATTCTTACCTCATTTTGCAATCCACACAGTTGGAAAACATCTTTCTCTACCATGTTTAAATCATGCATTTTACCTCCAGCTTTCATTAGAGAACTAAGACTACAGTCAACCGTTTGAGGTTGGAACTTCCTGAGTAACTGAAAATATCAAGCTAAGCTAATTTGGGAGTGAAATATTCACACAGTGAACCACACATTTTTAGTCAGAAGGCCCCTTGCCACACACCACACACAGAAGACTGGGCTTTGTATGAATGTTTAAAAAGACAATGAAGTTATTTCATGAATAGTACTTTAATTGCAAGACAAAGGATTTCAAACTAATCACCATGATAAGACCAGTTACGGCATGTCAGCTTGAAATATATTACACAGTTACTGACTATATTTCCTGGACTGTATGTTTCATGCTTATAACTCTTTTATTTTGTAGCTGGAGGTTTCGGTTTCCCACTCTTCCTCACCTATTTCTTTTCATCTGTTCCCCCCACTCCTTCCTGGCAAACACGTATTTGTTCTTTGCATCTATAACTATACATACACAGTATAATAATTTTGAACTGCTATATTGTACATTTGAAGTTAATTTTGTAAATCTACTATTCTTTAGTAAGAAAGAAAAGGAAATGGTGCTCAAGAGGACATGGGAGTTATTTTCTGAAGCAAGTTCACTGGATATAGCAATAAAGATAGAAGTGATGTGGTGAGGGCTGCTTTTATTCACTTTTGTCGAGTGATAGACAAAACTAGATTTGAGTGGACTGAAATGATGAGAGAATGTATTTTCCTTAAAATACATTTCCTGAAAGAAGCAGTGGACATTCTAGGTTATGCTTGTATCTGAAAAAGATGAAACATAGAAATGAAAAGAAGCTGATGTTGATAATGTTACTGAAACTCTGCCTGTGTTCTCTGATGCTGAATAGAAACATAGAGACAGGTTTTGGGTGAAGTAGAAAAGAGTAACTTTTATTGTGCTGCCAGGCAAAGGGGGCCACAGAGGACTAATGTACTCAAGACTGTGTGACCCACCCTGGAGTGGGATAGTGAGGAGTTTTATAGTGTTCAAGGAGCAATGTGTGACCAATTCATGGACAATTCTTGGATTGGTTGGCATCAAGGTGAAGTTTCAAGCATCATCAATTTTTCGGTTTCAACCAGTCTAGAGTCTATGTTCTCATGATCAGCAGTTTTCATTTGGAGGGGGTCTGCTTCTTGTAAAAATTACTTAGCAATGTGTGCCATGCCTTTATATATTTCAGAGAAATAGGAGTTCAGTGATTCTGCTATGTGGTTGAATTATAATCTAAATTGTTGCCAGTTCCCCAGCCCAATAGCTAGCCTTTGTTTCTACATCTTCACATTTCTCTCTTCAATGAGGGATGCTGGGAAAACTGGTCAACTACATGCAAAAGAATGAAACTAGAACACTTTCTAACATCATACACAAAAATAAACTCAAAATGGATGAAAGACCTAAATGTAAGACAAAAAGCAATAAAACTCTTAGAGGAAAACATGGGTAGAACATTCTTCAACATAAATCACAGCAAGATCCTCTATGACCCACCTCCCAGAGTAATGGAAATAAAAACAAAAAATAGACAAATGGGTCCTAATTAAACTTAAAAGCTTTGGCACAACAAAGGAAACTATAAGCAATGTGGAAAGACAGCCCTCATGAAACAACTGACAAAAAATGAATCAATCATTGATTCTTGAATTAGTCTTTTACTTTAAAAACAAAGACACGGGGATTTGTAGAGTTTCAGAAATACAATGTATTAATGCTACTGCTGCCATAATAAAGTGCCATGCACTGCATGATTTAAAACACCAGGAATTGATTGTCTCACAGTACTACTGCCTGGAAGGCCCAATATCAATATGTCCTCTGGGTCATGCTTTCTCAGACTGCTCTAGGAGACAGTCCTTTCTTGCCTCTTCCTGCTTCCGGTAATGGCTGGGCATACCTACCACTCTTTGACTTATAGGTATATCACTTCAGTCACTTGGCTGTCTTTTCCCTTTGTTTTCATATTGTCTTCCCTTTGTTAAGAGTTTTGTCTGACTCAAAATTTCCTCTTCTTATAACACCACTGGTGCTAAAGAGTTTGAGGCCTATAGTAATGATGTCTTCACTATTACACTCACCCCAGCCTTAATTTCCAAATAAGGTCACAGTCAGAGGTCCTGAGCATTAGAATGTCAACACAACATTTTAGGGATAGTTCAACCTCATAAGATATAGGAAGAGGAAATTTCTTGAGTCTACACACGATATACATAACTCAGATGGTAAAGTGTCTGCCTACAATGTGGGAGACCTGGATTTGATCCCTGGGTCAGGAAGATCTCCTGGAGAAGGAAATGGCAACCCACTCCAGTATCCTTGCCTTGAAAATCCCACGGACCAGGGAGCCTGGTAGGCTACAGTCCGTGGGGTCACAAAGAGTCAGACACAACTGAGGGACTTCACTTTCACTTTCAGAAGTTTACAAAAATTAATTCTATCCCATGGGATAGATTGCGTAGTTTTTCATATTAAATATTCATAGATATTACATAAATTAAGTTACCCTCAACTGCAAAGACCCTGTGTAATTATTGATTACTGGATATTTGGGCTTGTAAAGGCCTCTGCCTGGGTCTGAGATCCAGGGCAAACATGTATGGTAGGGTCTTTCTTCAAACAAACACTTTGCTTAAAGTGCATCATAGAACTCATAAGCCCATGAAGAGCATTATTATTTAGCAAAAAATCTTCAGAATAGTGGGGAAAGGGAATTGGTTATATACTGGCTCATCCAATGAGCGTGCATTCAGATTGTTGACAGGGTTCAGATGGTATTTCTTCCTGTTCAGGGCATGTGTGCTCAGTCGCTCAGTTGTGTCCGACTCTCTGCAGCCCTGTGGACTGGAGCACACCAAGATGGGCTTCTCCAGTCAAGAATACGGGAGTGGGTTGCCGTTCCTTCTCCAGAGGATCTTCCCGACCCAGGGTTTGAACCCATGTCCCCTGCAACTCTTGGATTGGCAGATGGATTCTTTTTCCACTGAGCCATCTGGGAAGCCCCTTTCCTGTTGAGAGCCAGGGATAATATCAGACTTTGTTATTGTCAAATGTGTCTTTTTTAATGTTATTTCTCCTATCAGGAGAAAATGAGATTTTTATTTCATTGACACAATATAAATCTTCTAGAGGCTGCAGCTCTCTAGCACCAGTCTTCAACGTTGGTGACATCATTATGTCATGATGTCCATGAGTACTCTTCTAGCAGCTCTCTCAAAGGCTGCTACTGCTCTTCAGTGAAGATCACGAGTGCATATCTAAAAAATATATATATATATGCAGAAAATGTGAGCAGGAATGAATTTTCAAGACAAATGAAATTTATTATTCACAATTTTATAGCATAATTTAAAGCAGCACATTTTCAACCATGTCATCACTAAATTATTCAAACTATAATCCCTGCTTTCCTAAGGAAAATTTTAGGGTAATCACACTTAAGAGTGTTAAAAAATAAATATCAAAATGAATATATCTAAAATAAATAGGATATCACATCATGAGCAAATTGAATTTTATCTAGGAATGTAAAGCAGTCTCTTAACAATAGAAAATTTAAAATGTCATTCAATACATTAAAAGAATAGGAATAGAAACCATGACAAGATTGAAACAGATGCGGCAAAAAAAAGCATACAAGAAAATGAAGTCTCTTCCTACAAAAAAAATAATAACTCTTAACAAATAGAAATAGAAAAGAACCAAGCTAATTTTAAGAAAAGTCTATAAAAAACTAGATACAACACAACTAATGTTAACATATCAGAAGCATTTTCTTTAAAATGTGAAACAATTTTTACTATCAATATTGTGCTGGAAATTCCACCCATTTTAACTATACAAGAAATAATTAATTTCTACAATATAGGAAAAATAAAATTGTTACTAGTAGATGTTATGTTTTCCAGTATTTAAATGAATCCACAAATTATTAGAAAATTATGAATTGTCAGAAAGTATATTGAACAGAACAAGAATACCCAAAAGAGTTACCTTGCTAATAAAAACAACTGTTTTAAAAGATAATAAAAGTATATAATTGCAAAAGCAATAGATACATATAATAGACACATATAATAAATACTATGCAGTAACTGTTTAGAAAAATTATAAGTTACGTAAGACAAAAATCTATACAAGAAACACATTGTAAATGAATAAGAAAATAATACATAAATACAACCTAAATTAACCTAAAGATTGTGTAAAATGCATGATTCTTCTAAAATTGATATAGATAAGCAAAGATCCAGACCATTTAAAAAGCAGAAAACTAATAAGAAAATTACTTTCACAATCATCCAGCTGTGTCATCAGGCTATAATATTAAAGCAGTGAAATGTTGAGATTTCAACAAAGGGAAAGGGAAAAAGTTGATAAGTATTAAAACCATCTTACTCCTGGATGTCAAGTCCACTGTCGGAAACTGATTTAGGGCACTTTTTTCCTGCAAATCCATTTCCTCTCCGTGTAGCATCTAGCTGTTGCAACACCATCTTCATTAAGGTAAAAACATATTTCATTCCCTGTCATATTAATCCTACAATAAAGGAATCAAACAGTATGCATTAGGGAGTCCTGTGACTTCTCTCTTGGTCAGTGACACCTTTTGAAAAAATATTATCTGTCTAGAGTTCTGAAAAAGTATGCTGTTACACAGTCCTTTCTTGCTAGGGTTAAGATGTCTATACCAAATTGGACCAAAGGAGTCTCCCTCCCAAGAATCTGTATTTGTTAAACTAAGTTACACGTTATAGGTAGAGTCGTCAATTTGTAGAAACCAATGGTTCTTAACCCTGGGGTGGGTTTCCTTCCACCAGTCCTTGCAAAGGACACTTGGAAATATCTGAAGACATTTTTGGTTGCTTCAAGTGGAGCAGAGCAGGGGGAATTGCTACTGTCTCATGAGTAGAGGCCAGAGATGTTGCCAACATCCTATTATGCACAAGAAAGTGCGCCACTCAACTTTTTAGGTCCAATTCTCCATGTTGTAAAATAGAAGGTATGAAGCTCAGGTTAAATTGCAACTATCAGTGCAAATAAAAGCAGGTTAAAATAAACAAATTTATCTTGAACTGTGAAACTTGTCAGCAAACAGATAGCGTGAAGTTTGTGAAATAGATATAAGATTAGAGAAAATAGGGTAAAATCATGAAAAAGCCTACTTTTATTGTGTATGTGAATCTCAGGTCTTTACTTTCAAAGTAACCAACTAAGAAGTCTTTTCCCTTATAGCTTTTTTTTCATTTTTAAATTGAAATATAATTGCTTTGCAATGTTGTGTTATTTTTTGCTTTACAACATCGTGAATCAACTATATGTATACATATATTCCCTTCCTCTTTAGCCACTCTCCCACCTCCTATTCCATCCATCTAGGTCATCACAGAGGACTGAGCTAAGCTCTCTGTTATATAGCAGCTTCCCACTAGCTATCTATTTTACACATGGTAGTGTATCTATAGGCCCGCTGTGGCTCAGAGGGTAAAGTGTAATGCAACTCTCTCAATTTGTCCCCCCCTTTCCTTCCACTGCTATGTCCACAAGTCCATTGTCTACGTCTGTGTCTCTCTTGCCCTGCAAATAGATTCATCAGGACCATTTGTCTAGATTCCATATATATGTGTTAACATACAATATTTGTTTTTCTCTTATATCTTGATTTCCAACCTCTCTGGTTGACTCTTGAAACCAGTCAATACATGATACACTAATCCTTCCTCCACTTTTCCAACATGCAGACCAATCAAGGACTGTACAGAAATATACTAATGTACAGGTTCTAGAAGGCTGCAATCTGTGTGTGTGCTTAGTCACTCGGTTGCGTCCGACTTTGCAACCCCATGGATTGTAGCTCACTAGGCTCCTCTGTCCATGGGAATTCTCCAGGCAAGAATACTAGATTGGGTTGCCATGCCTTCCTCCAGGGAATCTGCCCAACCCAGGGATCAAACCCAGGTCTCCTGCATTGCAGGCGAATTCTTTACCAACTGAACCACCAGGGAAGCCCAAGAACACTGGAGTGGGTAGCTTATCCCTTCTCCAGGAGAACTTTCCAACCCAGGAATTGAACCTGGGTCACCTGCATTGCAGGTGAATTCTTTACCAGCTGAGCTACCAGAGAAGCCCAGAAAGCTGCACTATCTAAACTTAAATAATCCCAGAAAAAAGACACTCACCCTTTGTTAAATATGTTTTCATCCACCCATTGTCCCGTTAGATTTTCTGTCATGTCTCGCCAAATCCAGTGATCAGAAGTGCACTTGAACCGCTTAAGAAAATGCTTTAGAGACAAAATAAAATTCATAATTTTACTTGTCAGTTGTCACTACAACTTATTGTGTTCTTCTTGCTTTGCAGGTTGTGAGAAGAAAGGTGACAAAGCTTCAAATCCTAGTTTCACTGGAAAATAGCTATGTGATTGTGAAAAAGTATTTTACCTTCTGACCCTCAATTTTCTCATTTATGAAACAAAGAAAGAAATTTGTCAGAGAAATTTTCTTTAAGACACTTTTGATTCCAAATTGATAAATATTCAGTATGAAACTCTATTCCTCCAAGATTTTTAGTCTGTGAACTCCTAGAAAGCTAGACTTTTCAACTGAGTTCTTACACAGACTTCTTAATCATCAGATATGTATTATTTTTTTTTTTACTTCCCAGTAAATACTAGTATATTGAATTTAATGCAACATTTTACTTCAATATTTCTTCTAATTATCACATTTGCACACCCATACACACACATCTTTCATGTATCCAGTTCCTTTAGAACCTAATTCCCAAATTTCATTTTTTTTTTTTTTACCAACTATTTACATTTCTAAAGACATCATTCGGGGGGAAATTTTTATTTTTTTCTGATATTTCTCCTTATTCATTTGATGTTGAAAATTTTTCCTACCTTAGACACTTTCGTGCCATAAAATTATGTTCTACACAGAAAGTCACTGAGTCTACCTGCCCCAAAATAGTTGCAAAACCATAAACTTGACTTTGTATCACTCCACATTTCAGTTTTATATAAATACAAAGGAGTTATGACAGATAACAACACTGTGGTCCGTTCCTACCTGGTAACAGTGATGTCAATAACCTTGGCATTTTAATATACCATCTTCTATAGCATTTCACGAATTTATTTGAAAAAAATATCCAATTCGCTGAGATAAGCTATGGGTTTACAAAGGAATCTATTAAGAAAACAGTGACCCTGGATTCACAGGGTTTCCTGTAGAGTGAGCAAATCCATGCAAACTTCAAGTTAGAAAACATTCTACTAAATGAGAAGGTTGTGAGTATAATAAATACAGAGTGAAATTTTAGTTTACAGAAGAAGCATCCCAGTCTTTATGGGAGACTGTCACATAGGATGCACTGTAAGAGGCGTATCTGGAAAGAGTAAAAGATTCCATGACAAATACAGAATCCAGGGAGAAAAGGACAATTCATGTTCTAGGCTTAGGAAAGAGCTTGTTTTAAGGCAGAAAAAAAACAAGCTAGACAGGCTGTATGTATTGTAAATCAACAGGATATATTGCACTGAATAGCTGGAAAAATTGGATGAAGATGTGGAGCTGTGTTTTTGATGATAGGGAACTGGGAAATGACAAGGTACAGGGAAATGTCCTATGAAAAATATTGAACATTATTTGCTTAATAAAGAGTAACTCATGGAGCTGCTTGTTAAAAAGACAAGGTATGGCAAAAACCACTACAATATTGTAAAGTAATTAGCCTTTAACTAATAAAAATAAATGAAAAAAAAAAAAGACAAGGTAATTCTAAATAGGTGCAAATAAATAGGGGGAAATTTTCATGAAGCAAACTTCATCTCATTTTAACTAAGAAAATACTTTGCAATTTAAATAAACATTTGTAATATTTTAATTAAACCATTTAAAAATAGGCTTTTAAAATTCTTTTATAGTTTCTTTCATTACTTCTTCACAGATACCATATGCAATAACAACCTCATTCTATTTGTCACTTGTTTGTTTTTTTTTTCCATCTTGCTTCTTTGTTAGCCTTTTTTCCCCAAAAGGAATTGTAAGGCTGTTTAAGGATTTCTCAGAATGTTCATATCAAGAGTCTTGTTGAATTCAGCAGTGAAACCATTTGCTACAGAAGCTCTTTGTATTAAATTAAGCCTGCATCTTACTTTTTGACTTGGTATGTCTACTCTTAACATATCTAGTTTTTCACATTTTGTTCAGGTTTCTCTGTCTTTTCTTGCATCCAAAATGGTTTAGTTTCCTTACACTGATCTATAAATTGCCCCAGCCTAGTTTGTATCTCGGAGAAGGCGATGGCAGCCCACTCGAGTCCTCTTGTCTGGAAAATCCCATGGACAGAGGAGCCTGGTAGGCTGCAGTCCATGGGGTCGCTAAGAGTCGGACACGACTGAGCGACTTCACTTTCACTTCACTTTCATGCATTGGAGAAGGAAATGGCAACCCACTCCAGTGTTCTTGCCTGGAGAATCCCAGGGACGGGGGAGCCTGCTGGGCTGCCGTCCATGGGGTCGCACAGAGCCAGACACGACTGAAGCGACTTAGCAGCAGCAGCAGCAGCTGTTTGTATTTATTTAAATTTGAACCAGTCAGGCAGATTGCATAATTGTACATTGTTTACCTTGAAAGTAATACACAGTTCTTTTAACAATGTTGACAAGTGTGCTGCTGTACATTTAAACAATCTTGTATTACTGCTTTAATCGCTCACTCATGTCCTACTCTTTGCAGAACCATGGACTGCAGCCCGCAAGGCTCCTCCATCCGTGGAATTTCCCAGGCAAGAACACTGAAGTGGGTTGCCATTTCCTTCTCCAGGGGATTGTTCTGACTCAGGGATGGAACCGCCCTCTCCATCTCCCGCTTTGGCAGGCAGATTCTTTACCACTGAGTCATCTGGGAAGAACACACACAAATTTTAATGAAGTTAATTACCTTTTAAATTGACCCTTTACTTTTAAAGAAACGGAGCAAAAGTAAAAAATATACTTGTCACATAAGTCACCCAGGGAAAGAACAGATTTCATAAGTTCAGAGGTACAGGGTCTTATGCTTGTTAAAGCTCTTGGAGATTCTCTTTATTTATTGCATTTTTCCATCAGTGTTTTTTGAACAAAGATTCATTAACCTTTTTATTTGTACCTGCCTATATGCTACAGCAATGGATACAATTTCAGATAAAATATGGTGGCGATCTGGCCACTGGAAACTCATAACTTCAGCCTAGAGGGAAACTTTCAATTACATCTATTGCATTGTTGATAGTGAGCACTCTGACAGAGGCTGCCATGAAATCTCAGAGAAAGACAGGAAAGCAAGATTGATTAGCCAGAGGAAATTTCCACCAAGGAAGTGAAATGGAGAATTCCATCCTTCTTCTTCAAGGGTTTTAAAAGTTTTCCAAATAGTGTAAAGCTCTTCTATTCTTATTCCTTAAAATGGAAAAGCTAGCTATCAAGTCTACAACTTGATCAGAGTCTTAAACTATCCAAACAAAATATCACTAGCTTTTTCAATTGTATCTCCTGTGGCATGTTCTAAACTTCTTCGACATTTTGCATATATAAACAGGCATGTTTGAAATGCTTTAAAGACCATAATGGAATTTGAATACTTCCAGTATCTCTACTTAATGCAATTGATAAGGAATGCATATTAAATTACTTACTTTTTCTTTTGTAGTGGTAATCAAAACTAGGTTAGCATTTTGAGACAAACAGTTGTATCTACTTGAATTCCAATCTTGTTCTTCTTCAGAAAAATAGTAGCATTTATCTTGGAAACCAATCCAATTATCTGAGCAGAAATACCAAGCACCCTTATCTTCTTTAACTAGAGCAGAGATAAATACATATTTTAGGAATCAGATGAAATAATGTCACTGTGTTTTGAGATCACTGAAGAAGGATGGGATTGTGACAAAAAAAGATGATGCTTATGGCCAGAATTGCATGTCTATCCCATAGCCAGTTGAAAATCGACTTCATGTTAGGTTAAATGAGAACAGTTCAGAATATGAGAGGACACTCACATTGCTTTCAACTCCAAACTCACTGATTCATAGGCCTTCCTAGAGCAGTCAATGTGATTTCACACATGTTAAGTCACTTTTGTCATTTCCAGTTTAATAAAATATAACAAAATCAGGTGGTACTAAAAAACTGATTTATTTTAGACTGTTATAAATCTAGGACAGATTTTAATCTCTAAGAAAGCAATAAAAATAATAAAACACTATATAACTAACAAGACATGTACTCGGTTTCCAGTTGCAACTAGATACCACCATCATTGTGTGGTTCCAGGTTAATCAACCGAAAGAACTCATAATGAAATTTAGAAGATGAAAATGAAGCAGAATTCATTATTGTTGGAGGCATTGTGCATAGGAAGTTTACAAGCCTTTTCATGAGTTTCCTTTTGTATTTGCTGCAGTTAGATGTTTCTAGACTTTCCGCACGTGGGTTTCTCCAAACATACTAGTGCTTTAAGCCAAAATCATTAGTGACTATTTCTTCTTTAGCCTTCCATATCATCTCTTCACAATTCCTTCCAATTGTGTCATGCATAGTTCTTACATTAAAATCTTTTCTATAGTAACTAGTTGTATTGTGGTGATGATTTTGAAATATATAGAAATGGTAGAAATAAAATAAAATAAAGTTGTATTCTTGTAATATTTGTGCCATCTACTTTTCTGAACACTCCCAGACTGAATCAGTTTTTGGTATCAAAAGTGGTTCTAAGGGAACAGAACCTTAAGGATGAGATATGCTATTGGTTTTCCAATGTGATCTGCATTAAAGGCATTGACCCAGTCACCAGTTGTAAATGGGATGCTGGTGATCTATGGTGCATAGAGGTAAAACTACTAGTTAAATTATCACTCCTAAGCACCTCATACCATACAGGTACCTGTAGATGGTAAACATTTTAGCACCCTTCTCTTAAATACTGATAAAGCAATGGTTGAAACGTCTAAGTGAAAGTGAAAGTTGCTCAGTTGTATGTGACTCTTTGCGACCCCATGGACTATACAGGCCATGGATTTTTCTAGGCCAGAATACTGGAATGGGTAGCCATTCCCTTTTCCAAGGGATCTTCCCAACCCACGGATTGAACCCAGGTCTCCTGCCTTGCGGGCGGATTTTTAACCAGCTGAGCCACAAGGGAAGACCAAGAATTCTGCAGTGGATAGCCTACCCCTTCCCCAGTGGATCTTCCTGATACAGGAATTGAACTGGGGTCTCTTGCCTTGCAGGCAGATTCTTAACCAACTGAGCTATCAGGGAAGCCCATGTCTAAATATCTAAGAATAATAACATTTGAACACCATAAGTAACAAAATTGAGTTGACATACACCCAGAGCTAAAAGCAGCAACTACAGAATATACATTCTCAAAAAAGCATGTAAAACATTTACTAAAATGTGGGACAATTAAGTTTTAACAAGAGATTTTAAAAGGTTGAAAACATTAACAGTGTTCCAGCTGACTGTAGTAAAATTGAGCCATATTCCAATAAAAATTTTTTTTAAAAAATCACCAAAGTCTGTAGATTAAGAAGCACAATGCTAAACAGTTCATGAATCAAAGGGGAAAAAAAAAAAGAAATTTTGGGAAATAAAATGTGCTTTAAATGAAAGGTAATTACATATCTTTTCATATACGTTATATATATCATATTAAAAATTATGGATACAACTAAGCTTGTGGGTCTTTCTCTTTTAGTTTTGGCCATGCCATGTGGCTTGTGGGAGCTTAGTTCCCCAACAAGGGATAGAACCCGGACTCTCAGCAATGAAAGCATGGCATCCTAACCACTGAACCACACAGTACATTTCCTTTAATCTTAGAGGAAAATTTATTGGTTTAAATTTATGTTTTTTTAATTAGCTATCTCGAACAATTAGAGTGATAAATTAAATGTAAAAAGTAGAAAGACTCCATTAAAAAAATAAGACCAGAAAGCAATTGAATAGAAACTAATATTCAAGCAAAAAAGTCAAGAAACTCATTGTTGGCTTTTTGAATAATCTAGAATAGATAGAACATTAGCTGAAAAAAGAAAAACACCTTTTTAAAGGGAAGTAGACAAATTAGCAATACTAGGAATAAAAGAGAAATTTCTGGACAACACAGCAAAACTGAGAAAGGAAAGGTAAATGTGAATAAATACTCTGTGTCGTGAAGAAATTAAACTTTTAATAAAAAAAAATTCCACACAAATAAATCTCCCAGTCCAGGTGGCTTCGGATGTGAACACATCTAATCATTTAGGTAGGACATAGCTATGTTACCCAGTCTTTTTCAGAAAACAGAATAGGAAGGAATCTTTTACAGCTCTGTTTTAGAGGCTAGCATAATCTTGGTGGCTCAGATGGTGAAGAATCTGCCTGCAGCGTGGGAGACCTGGGTTTGACCCCTGTGTTGGGGAGATCCCCTGGAGAAGGGAATGACAACCCACTCCAGTATTCTGGGCTGGAGAAGCCCATGGACAGAGGAGCCTGGTGGGTTACAGTCCATGAGGTTGGAAAGAATCTGACACGATTGAGCACCTAACACTTTCACATAATTTCAGTATTGCTGACAACACTGTTATCAAAATGGGAAATTATAGTTCAGCCTTGCATGAGCATATGCACATATTATCGTAACAAAATATTAGCCAGGTTAATTTAAGAATGTTACAAAGGTTAATATTTTATGATCAAATTGAGTTTACTCCAGATAGGAAGGTTTATTTTAACATTTTGTAAAACTCTGTGTAATTCAACACGTTAACAGAAAGAAGAGACAAACTAAGCATTTCTCAATAGTACTTGATAACATTTTATGTCCTTTTAGAATAAAACTCTTTGGCTATCTAGGAATTATTTAATTAAGAATAATCAAATAATCTTTATTTGATTAAGAATAGCCATAAATAATCATTCTTAGTGAGAAATATTTAAAACTTTCTTATGTATATTAAGAATGAGATAAAGATGCAAGTTCTCACTAGTTCTCAACGTCTTACTGGAAGTATTAGCCAGTGAAATGAGGCAATATAAATATATAAAAAGATATAAAGATTTCAATAGAATAAATAAAACCACTATTATTTGCATATAATCTGAATGCTTACATAAACATACAAATGAAAATGAAGATAAAATATTAAAATTAATAGTTAACATAGCTATTAACACTAACAAAATCTAAAGAAAAATTAATTATGTTTTCTGACCACAGTGGAACTAAAATAGAAATAAATAACAGAAAGATAATTGGAAATCCCCAAAATATGTAGAGATGAAAGAATACACTATTAAATAACACCTGGGTCAAAAATGAAATACAAAGAATTTTAAAAGCAATTTGAATTAAACAAACATGAAAACACAACTCATCAAAATTGATGGGAAGAAGCAAAAGCAGTCCTTAGAAAAAAATAAATAGCACCAAATTTATACATTAGAAAACAAGAAAGTTTTAAAATCAGCTATCTACATTCCTTCCTTAGGAAACTAGGAAAAGAAGTGAAAATTAAACCCCAGAAAAACAGAGCGGAAATAATAAGAATCACAGAGCAAAAAACAATTAAACTAAAACAGAAAATTAATAGAGAAAGTCAACAAAAGCAAAAAGCCCTTTCTTTGCAAAGAACAATAAAATCACTAAGCCTCTAGCCAAGTTAACTTAGAAAATAAAGGAGAAATAAATTAATCATGTCAGAAATAGAAGACACAACATCACTACACATGCCACAAAAGATAATAAAGGAATACTATGAACAAGTTAATACCCACAAGCTTAATGACTTAAATAAAATGGACCAATTCCTTGAAAGATGCAATCTTCCAAAACTCACATAAGAAGAAATAAACAATGTAAAGAGGCTCATATCTATTATAGAAATTGATTAATAATCAGTAATGTTCTAAAACACAAAGCAACAGGCTCAGATGTGTTCACTGCCAAACAACTGAGGAAGAAAACAGCAATTGCTGACAACCTCTTTTAAAGTATAAAATCAAAGGGAATGCATCTTAACTCATTACATGAGGCCAGCATTATCTTAACCACAAAACCAAAGACATTAAAAAAAGAGAGAGAGAGAGAAAACTAGAGACCAATATCTCTCTTGGGCATAGGTCCAAAAATTCTTATCAAAATGTTGGTAAGACAAATCTAACAGTGTACAGAGAATTATACACTATGAAAAAGTAGGATTTATCCCAGGTCTGCAAGGATGATTCAATATTTGAAAATCCATTAATATAATCCATCTTATCAACAGGCTAAAAAAGAAAAATCACATGATCATATCAATATGAGCATCTGAAAAATTTAACACTCATTCACAGCAAAAATTCTCAGTAAACTAGGAATAGAAGGGAGCTATGCCAACCTGATAGACTATTTACCAAACAAACAAACAAACAAACCCTACAGCTAATTTCTTATTTAATAGTGAAAAATTAGAGGTTTTCCCTCTAGAATCAGGTACAAGGTAAGGATATTCCTTCACAAAATATTGCAGTTAAATGAGCAGTAAATGTGAAAAGCAGTAACTGTGAAAAGAATTTCCTAAAGGAAAACAATCCCGAGTATTCATTGGAGGGACTGATGCTGTGGCTGAAGCGCCAATACTTTGGCCACCTGATGCGAAGATGACTCATTGGAAATGACCCTGATGCAGGGAAAGATTGAAGGCAGGAGGAGATGGGGATGACAGAGGATGAAGATGGTTGGATGGCATCACCGACTCAATGGACATGAATTTGAGCAAGCTCTGGGAGATGATAAAGGACAGGGAAGCCTGACATGCCGCAGTCCATGGGGTTGCAAAGAGTTGGACATGACCGAGTGACTGAGCAACAAAATGTGAAAAGGACCTTAACAGTATTCGTCATCAAGAGAAGGCCAATTAAAGTTGCAATAGGTACCAACAAATGTACCAACACACACTCATCAGAATGGCTAAAATGGGACTTCCCTGGTGATCCAATGGTTAAGAATCCACCTGCCGATGTAGGGAACATTGGTTTGATCCCTGACCCAGGAAGATTCCACATGCCTCGAGGCAACTAAACCTGTGTACTACAGCTACTGAGCCCCCTGTGCTTTGCCACAAGAGAAGCCACAATGAGAAGCTCCCACACTACAACCAGAGAAAACCTACATGCAACAACGAAGACCCAGCACAGCCAACAAATAAATGAATAAAATTTTTAAAAGTAAGAAAGAATGACTAAATTGGATAAAGCTGACAACAAATCATTGACAAATTCTTGAGCAACAGACATTTGCATAATCTTTTGGTTGGCTTATCTACTATCTGTGGTATTATCTACAAAAACTGACCTAAGTATCAGTTCAGCTCAGTCGCTCAGATTATCAGGGTGAAAGATTTTGTCATAATCATCTTTACATCTCCCTATGCCTTAATGTATATTGTATAATTCATAAGCATTCATTCATTGATACCCACTATATATATCATGGTGATGCTTTCTAAGGCCCGCTTGACTTCACATTCCAAGATGTCTGGTTCTAGGTGAGTGATCACACCATTGTGATTTTCTGGGTCGTGAAGATCTTTTTTGTACAGTTATTCTGTGTATTTTTGCCACCTCTTCTTAAAATCTTCTGCTTCTGTTAGTTCCATACCATTTCTGTCCTTTATCGAACTAATCTTTGTGTGACATGTTCCCTTGATATCTCTAATTTTCTTGAAGAGATCTCTAGTCTTTCCCATTCTGTTGTTTTCCTCTATTTCTTTGCATTGATTGCTGAGGAAGGCTTTCTTATCTCTCCTTGCTATTCTTTGGAACTCTGTATTCAGATGCTTATATCTTTCCTTTTCTCTTTGCTTTTCATTTCTCTTCTTTTCACAGCTATTTGTAAGGCCTCCTCAGACAACCATTTTGCCTTTTTGCATTTCTTTTCCATGGGGATGGTCTTGATCCCTGTCTCCTGTATAATGTCATGAACCTCGGTCCATTGTTCATCAGGCACTCTGTCTATCAGATCTAGCCCCTTAAATCTATTTCTCACTTCCACTGTCTTGTCATAAGGGATTTGATTTAGGTCATACCTGAATGGTCTAGTGGTTTTCATTACTTTCTTCAGTTTAAGTCTGAATTTGGCAATAAGGANACACCACCCTTATGGCAGAAAGTGAAGAGGAACTAAAAAGCCTCTTGATGAAAGTGAAAGAGGAGAGTGAAAAAGTTGGCTTAAAACTCAACATTCAGAAAACTAAGATCATGGCATCTGGTCCCATCACCTCATGGCAGATAGATGGGGAGACAGTGGAAACAGTGGCTGACTTTATTTTTCTGGGCTCCAAAATCACTGCAGATGGTGACTGCAGCCATGAAATTAAAAGACAGTTGCTCCTTGGAAGAAAAGCTATGACCAACCTAGACAGTATATTAAAAAGGAGAGACATTACTTTGCCAACAAAGGTCCATCTAGTCAAGGCTATGGTTTTTCCAGCAGTCATGTATAGATGTGAGAGTTGGACTGTGAAGAAAGCTGAGCACCGAAAAATTGATGCTTTTGAACTGTGGTGTTGGAGAAGATTCTTGAGTCCCTTGGACTGCAAGGAGATCCAACCAGTCCATCTTAAAGGAGATCAGTCCTGGGTGTTCATTGGAAGGACTGAAGCTGAAGCTAAAACTCCAGTACTTTGGCCACCTCATGAGAACAGTTGACTCATTGACAAAGACCCTGATGCTGAGAGGGATTGGGGGCAGGAAGAGAAGGGGATGACAGAGGATGAGATGTTTAGATGGCATCGCCAACTCGATGGACATGGGTTTGAGTAAACTCCAGGAGTTGGTGATGGACAGGGAGGCCTGGCGTGCTACGATTCATGGGGTCGCAAAGAGTCAGACATGACTGAGCATCTGAACTGAACTGAACTGAACTGATATATATCATGGATAATGGGAAGGGAGTGAGAATAATGAGAAAAGATTATGACTGAAGCAGAAAGGAAAAGTATCATACAGTAGGAAGCTCTGAAAACAAAGTATAATTTAAGAAATAACAGGAAGTAATTTACTCACCTGAAAAAGGTATATTAATACTTATTAAAACAATATTAATAACTGCAGATATTGCTAATGCAAAAATAAGTATTTTAGTGCTTGTCTTTAACATCTGAAACTTGTACTGCTTGGACTGCTTGTCTTTAACATCTGAAACAAAACAAAACACCACTTAGATTAAGGAACAGGTAAAAGAAAGACCTAATTTGCATTCAAAACCATACTTGACAAACTTCTTTATGCTAATATTTCACAAGGAGATGACACAAAATGTACTTTCTCTGTTTGTCATGTGGAAAAAAAAAAAAAGAAACATGATTTATCCTTTTTGCTGAAATTCTTCATGAGAACCTTTTATCAAATCCAGATGTTACTATGAACTTTACTGCCACAGCCCAAAGGATCAAATATATGACTTTTCCAGTCGAATTTCCTCAAGCCTGAAGCCACCCTCAGACCTTCAACACCCTTCTATGGTGAAATATCAGCACATCCTAACATTCCTTGAATATTTCTAAGAAAATCTACTTTATAACAAATAAAAAGTTTAATTTTAAAGGATAGACAGTATAGTATACTTGAAAGGCCACAGAATAATCAATCAGAAAATTTAGAATTGAGATTTTCACCACTAACAAGGGAACTAGGATGAGTCACTTTTTTTTTCTAGTTCTGTATTTCCCAATCTACAAATTCAGTAGAACAGAACAAATTTCTGTGAGGAATTGTTTTTCTTTTGTTAGTGGTCATTTAGGAAAAAAATAAAATTTGTATGCAAGTTTCTTGAAATGAAACTTTTTATTATTTCATGTGATTATAAAATATTTATCCTTAATGTAAAATTTCATGAAATGTAAAAAATTATAGCAGATACTTAAGATAGATAATATAATTATTGACAAAATTGATTCTCCCTGTCTTTTTTACTTAGTGAAGAACTAGTTGCTTTTTTTGTTGGATAAATTTTTTCCTTAGTGGATATATAAAAGAAATAATTATTTTTAATCATGATTTTTTTTTTTTTTTTACTGTACCATGCGGCACGTGGAATCTTAGTTCCTTGGCCAAGGATTGAATCTGAACCCCCTGCCTTGGGAGCCTGGAGTCTAAACCACTGAACTGCCAGGGAAATCCTTCTAAGAAATTAAATTTAAAATAAATCTAAATTTACCCTCCTTAGAAATAGCTGGTGTTATCATTCGTATTAATATCCCTCCACACATAGATCTTTTTAATCCATTATTAGCTATACAACCTCCCTCCCAAATACTGGTAATTTTAAACAAGTACGATCATCATTTGCCCACTGTTTTATATTCTCATATTTTCAGCTAACACTTTGTTGTTCTTCCTACCTGTAACAAATTGCTAAAAATGGCCCCAAAGAATCATGCCTCTCCCTGTCCAATGCCCCTTTGGTGCACAATCATGCTATTTCTCCTACCACGAGGTACATACTGCATTTCCCAACACTTAAATATGAATTGGTCTTGTGTCTCCCTTTGGCCAATAGAGTGTGGTAGAAGTGACACTCTGGGACTTCAGAACACAGACCTTAAGAGACCTCGACCATTCACATCTCTCTTTTTTAAAATTAAAGGATATATTATGTACTATGTTTTCAGGTTTGGCTTATAACAGGAATTAAATAAAAGAAAATGGAAGTCGTTCAGTCGTGTCCAACTCTTTATATAGTCCATGGAATTCTCCAGGCCAGAATACTGGAGTGGGTAGCCTTTCCCTTCTCCAGGGGATCTTCCCAACCCAGAGATTGAACCAAGGTCTCCCACATTGCAGGCAGATTCTTTACCAGCTGAGCCATAAGAGAAGCCCAAGAATATTGAAGTGGGTAGCCTATCCTCTCTCCAGCAGGTGGGGAAGATGTGCTGGAGAAGGGATAGTCAAACTTTTATTCACCTTCCTGTGTTAGCACTCCCGTATTTCCATATTTTAATTACCATATGAGTAGGAGTTGAAGGTTACTTATTGCTCTATTAAGCAGAATTATTTTAAAATCATTTTTCTATTCATTCTTTCAAGGAGGTCTTCAGCTATTTTGCCATCGCTTTCTCCAGAATGATTGGTGAAATTAGTGACTCCTTCAGTAAAAAAAAAAAGAAAAGAAAATCCTAGTTTATTAAAGGGAGTATTTTGAGAATCATAAAGAGCTTTAAAAAGAGGAAATACTTATAAGCCACAAGAAGATGGTGGATATCCTGCTAATATGAGAAATGCTCTGGGTACTAGTGATATAAGTCATTTCTATCTCAAAGTTGGCAAAACACTAGATCATTCAACTTTGTGGAACATATGGAGATATCCTACCTGCAAAAAACCAGTCTCAACAAAGATGCAAGTCATAAGTGTGGCAAACAGAGTGGCTTTCATTACATTAGCACAGAGGCAGCAGAACTAGAACCAAAGGGGTTATGAATGTTGATATAAATACCCCCCTGATGGCTCAGAGGTAAAGAATCCACCTGCCGATGCCAAAGACTCAGGTTTGATCCCTGCGTGGGGAAAATGAGGAAGATCCCCTGGAGAAGGAAATATTAAATAGCAACCTACTCCAGTATTCTTACCTGGAAAATCCCCCAAGAGTCAGACACCACTTCTTGACTAAAGAACAGCAATGACAAATACATTCTTCTAAGTAATCAGTGAAAAGAGATAACTGAAAACTCTCAACCTCAAGTTCAGTGTCTTACAAAATCTGGGAAAGTTCATATAACCCTGTAGGGAATGCCCCACTCAATTCAATATCACAACCACCAAGATTAAATATACTGTCAGCTCAATGAGGTAGGAACTTGGAGTGATGTTTAGTTTGATTTAAAGCCTTAGAGACTTGGAAATTTATTTCACTTCTGAATATGCAGGTACATACTTAAATCTGTTACACAACTATTCCCTATTTTATCGGCTTACTCCCTAAGCCTTAAAATCTAGTTTTGCACACTCAGTATAATTAGTTTTCATCTTTAAAATTCCTTGTTTCTACTCATTTACTCAATCCTTAATACCTGCAACTTACACAAATATCCAAAAGACAAAAGCAACAGAAAGTGTTGGTCTCTCAGTATGAAGTTAGTATTGAAAGATGAATTTCAAAGAAGTTGTTCATAGTGTGTGCAATGAATGTATGCTCAGCCACTTCAGTCGTGTCTGGTTCTTTGCGATCCCATGGACTGTAGCCCGCATGCTCCTCTGTCCATGGGAATTTTCCAGACAAGCATACTGGAGTGGGTTGCCATGCCCTTCTCCAGGGTAATCTTTCTTTCTTTCTTTTTTTTTTCCACTGAAGAATTTTATCCACATTTAAGTGTGAAATAATACAAACAGCACTCAAATTCTTTCTTAAAAATAGACCAGGGAGAACATTTATCCAATTTATACATGTATCCAATTTATCTCTAAAGCCAACATTACAATATCACGACCACAAAATTGTTGTTAAAAAAAGCCAACTATAGAAAGATATCCTCCATTAAATGGAAGCAAGTACTTAATAACATATCAGTCAATGCAGTGCAGTAAACACACAAAGAAACCGAAAGCACACGCCAAGTGGGGATTTGTCTGGGCGATGCAAATGGGGAGGCCTGAACCCAGAGCAGGGTCTCCTTCTCAAAGGGTGCCCCCCAAGACGTCCCATACACGCAGGCAGTCCCCGCGGACGAAAACCATCACCACACAAGGGCAGAGTCGGAGGTCACCGTGCAGACCAGGGAGCCAGAGACAGGAGGGCTAGCTTCGCGGGGCCACAGTCTCCAACTGCCGACAGGAGACTGGGGCTCCCTCCACCCCTGGCCCCTGGGGGCTCCCAGACCAGCTCTTGCCTGGAGAGAGGGGGTCATGGGCACCTCACCCCACCTCCCTGGCCTCCTTCCTGGACAGGAAGCCTCACAGGCCCAAAGCTGCCTGCTGCCCTGGGGGCAGGGAGGGGGTGTGTGTGTGTGTGTGTGTGTGTGTGCACAAGGGCAGGGAGCGAAGCTTCCAGCGACTGGAGCTTCATCCTCCCCTCACAGGGTAATCTTTCTGACCCAATGTCGAACTCACATCTGAGTCTCCTGCGTTGCAGGCAGATTCTTTATCACTGAGCCACCGGAGAAGCCTGGTGTGTACAATGAAGGAAAAAAAAAAAAAATCCCAGGGAAGCTTAATAAAAATCTATTTAATTAACAATGTAACTAAAATATTTCTACATTCATCCCTGTTATAATATAAATAGCTAAGTGTTTCAATCATTCTTCCCATAGAGAAGCTTCACTGACAACTAATTTCTCTGTTTCTGACTCTGATCTCCTCCAAGGAGGTAAGAGAAAAGATTCTGGGTGACCAGTGAATTTAAAACCAAATACAATCCCCTTTTACCGAGCTCACAGCTATAGAAAAAAAAAATCACAAAATACCAATATGCAGAAAGAATAAGACAAAATAAAATTTTTAAAAATATTAAGAGCTTAGAAATGAATTACATAACACACTAAGTTATTACCATTTCAATGGTGTTTAAAATGTCAAAATACATATACATGATGTAGATATTATATATACTACATAAAATTTAATTTATATATTTATGTGATACATATAAATTTATACATAAAATATATAAATTTACACTGTTTATTGATATATAAAGCAAAAACTAACACTGGTTTTATGAGTGGGTAGAAAACACCCTTAAAACTTTGTTTTAGATATTTTCACGTTATCTAATATTTGATCCCATTGCCCCTAACTTTCTTTGATCTAACCTTAGAATTATTAAATTGTGAAAAAAAATGAGGAATAAAGCATTTATACATGCTAATATGAACTGCAGCAATATTTTTGACTGTTGCATAATGCTGGTGTACATGTGTTCGTGTTCAGTTGTGTCTGACTCTTTGTGAGCTCCTGGGCTGTAGCCCTCTAGGCTTGTGGAATTTTCCAGGCAAAAATATTGAGGTGGGTTCCCATCTCCTCCTCCACGGGATCTGCCTGACCCAGAAATCGAAACCAAGTCTCTCGCATCTCCTGCACTGACAGGAAGATTCTTTACCCTTGCACCCTC